CACACACACACACACACACACACACACACACACACACACACACACACACACAGAGACACCCATGCACATGCGAGCCCATGGAGAGGGGCATTCCCGGCGGCTGCACAGCTCCCGGAAGCTTGAGGTGTCTGCTTTGGGCTTGGCAGCATGCGCGAGACCTGCCGTCCCCCCCCCCCCGTCCCTTGCCTGGCGGGGGGGGGGGGGGGGGGGGGGGGTCAGATGGGCGCTTGCAGAAGGTGGCTGCATCGCCACATATCACAGGAAGCCGGCCCATGACGGAGAAGGAATTCCGCGCCAGTCCCCCCGCCCCCTCGAGGAACACCCCATCCTCCACGCCGGAGAGCGGCCGAGGTGAGGGGGGCCTCTGCTTCAGGGGAGGCAAAAACAAGAGGCCTCTCGGCGGCCCGGCCCCCTACAAAGGCGCTAGATCACTCTCTCCCCCCCTCTCCCTCTCTCTCTCCTTCCGCCTCTCTTCCTCCTCTCCCCCTCCCCCTTCTCCTCCCCTTCGTCTCTCTCTCTCTCCCTTCCCTCTCTCTGCGCCTGCCGACACCTGCCCCTGCCCACGACACCAGCCGCTCCCTTGCCGGCGGCCTGCTCCCCCCCCCCCCTCCCGACTCTCCCTCCGAGACATGACCGTCACTTCGACGACCATCCAGGCCTCGGACGCCAAGCAGGTCCGGTCTCTCTTCTACGCCGACATCTATGTCTTCCATCTCTCGCCGAAGCTGGTACGCCCGGGAAGAGCCCGCTGCTGTCTCGGCCACCTCCATCATCACCGCTCTCGCCCCGCGCATACCCGGTCACTGCACCCGCTCTAACCGGACTCATGCACATGGACAAAGGGCATCGAGCTCCTCATTCGCCATGGCTTCTTCGCATTGGCCTCCGCTGCTGATGCCGACAAGATGGCCTCCCTGCTGGCTGCTGCTCCCGGGGAGCTGGACTTCGAGGAGCTCCCCGGGCCCATGATCGAGGCCATTGCGCGCTTTCTCCTTCGCGAGCCGGCTCTCGACCGGCACCGTGTTGGCGGCTACATCGCCGGCCGGGACACCCACTCCAACCGGGTCCGGGAGGCTTTCTGCATGCACTTTCCCATGCAGGGCCTGAATTTGGAGGCAGCCTTTCGGTGCGTTCTCCTCCTCCCCCTCGCACGTCTATTATATATATGTATTTCCATCTTTAAACATTTGGACACACATGCACACGTCAACACGCTTGCTGTCTCCCACAAACTGGCCATGCCAGCTCACTGGCTGCCCGTCCCCCACTGCCATCC